ATTGAATAGCATTATTTTCTACGTTACAAATACATTCAGGAAAATATTCGTCAGAATTTTTGAATTTCAAAGGTGGAATAACAACAGAACCATTATCCAAATTTCGGATAATTAATGATTTTTTCGGGTAACTATACTGAACTGGATTGTTTTCTCGAATTGGCTTAAAGGAAGTGTTATAAGTAATTTTACATTTATCAGTAATAATCTGATGTTTAGTCAAATCAATAGAGCAATTAAGCTTTTGTAAATCATAGAATCCTAATAAGCAGTCATAACGTGAATGCCAAGGAAGAATTAAAAATTCAATTTCAGTTTTATTCTTCCATTCAGAAAATATGGGAATTTTACAGGCATATTGACCTCTAAAATTGGACGTACATGAATTAATTTCAAAAGGATGATCATAAATACGATCTGGAAAATATTTAAAAGCAATTTCTGGATTGATCAGGGAGGATGATGCACCAGTATCGATTAAGATGATAAGATTAAACTGAGAACAAAAAATATACGGAAGGTGGGTTTTTTGATAATTATTTATATCTAAGTCAAATTTTGAGACTGGCTCGTCGAAGGAAAATTTTCTTCGTCATTGTTTTCAAAATAAGATTCATCGGGGATATAGTCTGAATCGAAATCTTGGGTATATTCCTCAGATTCATATTGTGGCGTTCCTGCAAAAGTTTGTTCTTCCTCATTTTCAAGATGAGTAATTTCTTCGACATAATAATGGTTTGGTTTGGGACCTACTTGAAAGGCATTAACTCTAGTGGGCATTTCTTGACGATATGGGTTTTGTTGGGGTTTCGGTGTGCGTGCTGTAGATACAGACATAGGTATAGGATTACTTTTTTGTTGGCCTGGAATGGGTTTTTTGGAAAAAACATTCTGTGGTGGTCTGAAAGCTTGAATGTTTGTAGGGTAATGAGGTTTAAAATTTTGTTTAGGTGGTGGTAGTTGCGTGGGACCTGTAGGGAAGGTTTGTTGTGGCTCTAGCCAAGTTTGACTATTTTGGGCTCTAAACTGATTGGGCTTTTGAGAAAAATTAAAATTAGACCTTTGGAAATTTTGATTTGAAGCTTGTACTTTATTCTGAGACTGAGGCTGTTGTCGTTTATATAGGCTCGTTCTTAAGAAATTTTTATAATCAACTTGCATTTGCAAATTATCATAATCACGACAATATTGAACACAAGAATCAATTGTAGTAGGATTTTGCTGTCTTACATAAGACCTATATGGTTCATTCAAACCAGAGATAAAGGAGCTCAAAGACTGTCTATCATAGTCTCTCAATTTAAAAGCGATATGATCGGGATTATCATGGTATTCTAAATTTGCAAATTCTTTCAGGCTCTGTACCTTAAATTTAATTTCTTGATAAAAATCTTCATATTTTTGGTTAGGTTTCTGAACTGACGTATCTAAGGCGGTGAGAAGAGTTTCTTCATTTCTAGGATCTTTATATTTGGATAATAATAATGATTTTAAATCTGGCCAGGTTCTCGGACTAGTTAGATGCACTAAATCTCTTACTTCGCTTTTCAGCTGAGAAATAACGTATTGGAAAGCATACGAAACAAAAGGTGTATTAACAAATTCTGCAATAAACTTTTCTGAATTATCCAAAAAATAAATTAGATCTCTGTAACCTCCATGATATTCTGGTACCATATATTTAGCTACATTGAATTTAATTTGTAAATCTTGAAGAGACATGGTTGACTGATTAAAATTAAGACGTGAGGGTGTCAAAATAACTTGTCTAACAGGTGTATTTTCGACTACAGATTCAAATTCAGAATCGGACATTAAATATGTGCAATTAAAGTCACTAAATAAGTTTACTTATAGATAACTTTTACGAGTATATATAAATGTAAAGCAATAGAGGGCGAAAAAGTTTCGAGAAATAAATGGAAAAATCACTGAGTACAGCAAAAATTGTAAATGTTGTTTCTTACGCTACACTGGGCACTAGCAGCTTCATTTGGAGAGATCTGAGATACCTCCTTGGGCCAATACAGCTCCTCCTGGTTGACAGCTTGCCTGCCGTGGATCCAGCACCTCGCTCCTGTCAGTTCCTGTCGTTTTCTCAAGTGTCGTTGCCTGCTCCCAAAATACTTAGCAAGTATTTCGGCCTGGTACTTCGATGGTGATGTGCCTGCTCGGTGTAGCCTTCGAAGTTCTTTGTGATCGACGTCAAAACGATTGAAATCGTACCCGAACACACCGGACGATTTTTTGCACTTTTTCGGTCTCGATTGAGCGATACTCGTGAATCAATACCGCCGATTATCGATTCGGTACGCCGATATCCTGTTCGCAGCGCCAATTAAGAATGTGCAAACAACGAACGACTTTTTAAAAAAGCGACTTTATTTAACAGAAGACGAATGAGTACTGGTCACCTTGGTTTACATGCATCTCTTACTTATAACCTACGCTAGAACAAAGGAATTGAAAAGTGCAAACCTAAGCAACTCTACATATTAGATCATCATCATAGCAGTGCCGTAATTTGCGTAAGCAAGCGCAAATAATTTTTCATACAAGTATCACCGAACCATCTGCCCATACAGCGATATAAAATCTATCAAACATCACGATATAAATATCGACTATCGACTTTTGTACAGTATCGATGGCTCGTAGCCATCTTCTAATTCCAGCTGTAGCGATCAGCTGACCAACGCTAGTGATCCGATTGGTTGGTTCTTAAGGAAAATTTCAATATATTGAACTTTAATTTAAGAAGTGACCTTGAAATTAAGAAAACGACCATAACCTCAATATATTTTGTCATTTATGCAAAAATGAACTGATTTGGATACTTACTGCAACGTCATCATTAGGCGCTCCTCTGGCGATGTCCGATTGCGTTCAGGTGACTTCTGCAGGTACCTCTTCACCAAGGTCAGGAGTTGATACCACCGCGGCTTTTCGTTATTTTGCTCTAGGCATGGCCATCCTCAATTAATCGCACAAAAAACAAGTCAAAGGCAGAAAAACACACCCGAAGACGAACACCAAAACAAATCTCTACCACAAATTCGTCAACAACTCAAACAAAAACAACAGATGAGTCACTGCCTGGCTTTCTGGGTAAATCGTCGTGGAACACGGGACACCACAGAATTATTATAATTACGTCAATACGAGCATAGAACAGTATGGAAAAGGCTATCCAAGGGTAAGACGAGTTCCGAAACCACCCGAATCATGTCAAAAAATGGGTGTGACGTCACCAAAACGTTTGACCACCACTGGAAGTCACTAGCTAGTTACTATCTGGAGGCGTAACATGTGGAGGACACTGGTGTAGAAACACCTGATCCTTAAGTTCGGTTAGTTTAAGTCGTGCATGAACCCGACATTAGACTTTTTAGTTAATCCAGATGATCCACGTGGTTAATAGTTGGTCTGTCGTGATGTGAATGCTGCTGTTTTATAATGCTAATGCTGTTGAAATGATCTTATTATGGATTATTGATTATCCTTCTCTAGCTGCTGAAACACATCCTGATTATCATGGAAGCATGGACCTGTTGATCTTACTGACCGAATCTGCCATTTTATACTCCGTAGTTCATTAAATTCAAACTAGTCAACCAACCGGACTAACAGTGAAGGGTTAATGATGCATTGAAATTAATATTTACAGTAATTTAAAGTTGAATCAACAACTAATAGGAAACAATAGGGTTCGGATTGTATTGTGTTCGATGCCTGATACTTCACAACACACTGACGCACCAGCAAACGTGTTGATGACGACTTGATGTGCATTCGTTCTGTAGCTGTACGTGTTGCCTAAACATCATGATGCTTCAGCTATCAGTGTTTGGCTCTGATGTAATATAACATCTTCAGAGATGGCATTATTTGAGGTCCAAGCTGTAAGTTGTATACTATAGCGCATAGTGCGAAAGTGTTTTGTGCATGATACGTCATTCCTAACTTTTATGTGATGCGGCTTAATTACATACAACGCGGACGCGGTGGTGATTTCCCTCAATGTTTTTAAAAACGGAGAAGATTGAACTTTGAACATAACCTTCAGAGAGGACAACAAAAATAACCCCTCTTGTATACCTGATAGATATACTTTACGGGCAGCATATTCAGTAATAATTTTTTCACATAGCAAATATCACGGATTTTATACACATGCAGAGACCAGTACACACAATCACCATACAATCATCCACATCGTCTCAGAGGTAATCGGTATTCTGCAACCAACAAAGGATGCTGGGGAACTGACTTGCAGCTTGATCATTGATCGTGTCGGGTTGTTGAGACATTGATCCATAGATGACAGTTTTGGTGGGACTCACAGCGCTATATCGAGCAACCGCGGAATTGACTGTTTGCACACTAGGAACTATCTAGTCAACATGTTGACTTTTGTCGGTTTTTTTCACATTATGTACGTTTTTAACGTAATAACCTTGTGGGGCAGAACAATTTCAAAGGCAGCAATTTAATGCGTCTCTCCATTTCATACACAGGGGGCTTGATGTAGTTAGCCCTATTTTCTGAAAGTAGTCAGAATTCTCCCGTATGTTAGGATGTTGTCACATAAGCCACTTCTTACCCAAGGATTGGGTATGTTATTAAGAATATTTCACTTTGAAGCAGAATCCGGGGAGGGGCAATGCACCACCTTGCCCCTCCCCTCCATACGCCCATACATATCTGCTCGGATAAATAGTCTTTATTATTTTCGTTACTTTGAGTACATATAGTAAACTTTTGTGCAACATGTATTTTTTTGATACAACTTTTGTTTTTTTGCATGGGTGCTTAAATGTAATAGTGGCGTGTTGCTAAACTTCGTCATAGTTTGCTACTCTTATCTTTCTAAATGGAATTGTACACTTTCAATAAAGACGACTATAATGGTTATTAGTACTAAATTCTGATTAGGTTATGGTTAGTCTCTCAATTATGTTTGCCAAATTACGGCCTGTGTATAATTGTTATCTCATTCTAGTAAAATATCTACGAGAGGTGACTCCGTACTTCCGCAAGGCCAGCATCATCTCTGAAGTTGGCTGGGAGTTGCAGCGTGGCTTCCTGTCATCAGCGCCCCCTGCTTATCGCTCTCCCCAACGAGCTGACACCCGCTACCTCCCACTACAGCTCTGTCATCTAGCTAGAAACTTTCGATTCCCAGATCCTGGTAAGTGTTTAATAATAATATAATTTATGGGTGCTGATACAAAGAAATGTGTTTACATGAGTCAGTCAGTCACTTTTTATAGCGGGTTAAGTGGAAGAGCAGCTACAGCTGAACTTCGCCCGTATTTGGCTATTTTTTATATACTCAGTCTATTTGGAAATAAAGACGTTTATTATTATTATTATTATTATTAAGGGATATGTAAAAACGGTAAATACATGGGGAAAGTTCACATATCAAATTTGAATTACGCGGCAACCGTATACTGCAAGGAACTGGGGAGACGTCTTGATCAACGCGTTCGGCGTGCGGGTTAAATATTCACAATGGAACGTTGGACCGGAGCGCAACGCGCTTTTGCTGTCGAGGCTTATTTTAAGAGTGGTGATTCATACGCAACTGCCCTTCGGAAATTTTGTACCCGATGCAATATTCGCCGACCAAGAGATGCCCCAAGTAATAACATATTGAAAAAGTGGATTGGGATTCCGTGAAACAGGCTCCACTCTTAGTCAACCCATTCCTGGCCCCACACCTACTGTATCAACCGAAGAAAATGTGCGTCGAGTAAGTGATTCGGTCATTGCAAATCGTGGGCGTTCCGTACGGAAGCATTTCGCTGCTTTGGGAATCCCTAGGTCAACACTGCATGCCATAATGAAGAAAAAAAATGCATTTTAATCCTTATATAATCCAATCAGTCCATGCTTTAAAGGAAAGTGATTACGTATTACGGAAATCTTGCGCTGAACGGATGTTGAATCTTTTCCCTACGCAGCGCAGACTCAAGAACGTTGTTTTCAGTGGCGAGGCCCATTTTCACTTAGACGGTTATGTGAACAAGCAAAAATGCAGATTTTGGGCACCAACGAACCCAATAGAGAAACATCAACAACAGCTACATAGTCCAAAACTGACTGTTTGGTGCGCCATATCCTGTATCCGTATTATTGGGCCTTATTTCTTTGAAAATGAAAACGGCCTTGCATTGGCAGTCAATTCCGAGCGATACAAGGACATGATTGGCACTTTTTTGCTCCTATTGTAAGAACAGAACATTGATTCAACAGAAACATATGGTTTCAACAGGATGAGGCCACTGCCCATACTTCTAGAGAAACGATTGACACGGTGAAAGCACTTTCTCGTCAAAAAGTTATATCGAAGTTTGGAGACATTCACAGCCTCCTGGGTCACCCGATCTCACGCCATGCGATTATTTTTTGTGGGGGTTATCTGAAGTCAAAAGTGTATGCCAATAATCGACAAACAATGGAGCAGCTTAAAGACATCGTTGGACGAGAAATAAACAACGTAACACCGGAACTCTGAAAGAGAGTGTTTACTTCAATAAAACCCGCCGAATTTATGAATATTTTGATACTATTTTTTTTCATTAAGTTTGTATTTTTTTTCGTAAATCAAAAAGTGAGCTTTCCCACTGGACACCCTGTATAAGCAGCAAACAATTCGTGAATGAGATAAAGATAAACTACAATAAAAGGTAAAATGTCATTAAAATAATGATAAAGCCTACATTCAAAATTAATATAGTTATAAACAAAAAAAAATAGTTTAATAGTTTGTTTACCATCTAAAAGCCTTGGAGATATTTAACAGCTATGACCCCTACATCCAATTCACCATAGAGAAGGAAGAAACAAACCATTCTGTCCCTTTCCTAAACACTAGGTTAATACGTACGAACGAAAACTTGCTTATGATAGACTGGTACAGAAAGTCCACGGCTCCTGATAGATTCTTCACTTATAAATCTTACCACAAACTTGGTATCAAGATTAATTTGGTAAAACACATGAAAATTAGAGTGTTATACAGAACTGGTTTGTATCTTAAATATTTGTGAAATGAAATAAAATACGTCCATTTTTTTCATCTTGATCTTTTATTGAAACTTAGAAATTATGTATGAAAAATAATATCAAACAAATGTCCGGCTCTAGAAGCCGCGCAAACCTAAGCCCTGTTGATTACATGTTCCATCACTTTTTGGTAGGTTTCGGGAGAAATCTTTTCAGTCGCTTACGTAATCTTGCTCTTCAGCTGCTCTACAGTATTTGGTTTGTTGGCATAAACCCTATTTTTAAAATATCCCCATAAAAAAGTCAGGAGCCATTAAATCCGGTGACTTTGGTGGCCAGTTGACATCACCAAATCGAGAAATTGAACGTCTCGGAAATATTGTTCGCAAAAGGTTCATTGTTTCCCTAGCTGTGTGAAAAGTTGCTCTGTCCTGCTGAAACCACATGTTTTGCAGGTTAAATTGTTAGATTTGAGAAGCCAGAAAGCCACTTCTTGAGAACGATGTCTGGTAGACGTCTCAGGATGCTCCACTACACTTTTACGAAATCTCTCAATATTCTCCGGAGTACGAACAGTTCGAACACAGTCTTTACCGTCATCTGTTTGTTCAAATTTCAGCAGCAACTGACGAATGTCGTTGACACTGAACAAGAATCGACTAATTATTTAAGTAAAACGTTTTAAAAATACGGACGCGTTGTGGGATCTTGTAGCGCTCAGTGATGAATTAGACACATGTGCTTTATTTAAACAACTACTCGGCGCCACCTACTGAAATGCGTGTATCAAAAATGCCGCGCAAATCAGTTATACGAGTATATTGGCCACCCATTATTTAATGAGTCAATATTACATTACTTTCAAAACGGTTGAGATATTCCTTTGGCCATAATAGGCTGTATCAATATTTATGAATAATATAACGCTTTTGTGAATCTGTATCTGAACTGTATAGTTACAGCTCGTAGTTTTTACAATATAGGTGAATGTGTATACCATACAATAGATACCACAACCACCATAAATAACAATATTGGATATAAACTCTGGGCGCTGAAGAAAGACATTAAACGTAAACAGTGATCAGCACGTCAACAGATCACTCGAAAGCATCCACGGATATACTCCAGTCACTTTAGGTCTAAACATCCTCGGCAGTGTATTTCTAGTGAATCCACAGACCCTTTTTCGTGTCATCTTGAGACTAGAAAAAGGATGACTGTTAAAATAAGTTGCCTTGATCTTTCATGAGCTCCCAGTACAAAACATCATCGATATATTTTTGATGTAGGAACAACAAATTGGTTTAGAAAACATCCACTTTGAACCTAAATTGACTGGAGTAACATCGATCTACAGACAAATTCAAGGTCACTAGCAGTCGTCGGCGCTCTACGAATCTGCACAGGTTTGGACTTGTAAACGTGATTGTAGATGACACGACAGGCATCTAACAGTTAATTCACGCACAGGATTGCATTGCATACGCATTACGCTTTCAGTAGCGTATACTCGTTTTTCGCGAGTGGAACGTTTTGTTTATATATTGCCTAAGATACGATGTCTGACACAGATACAGCCGACGAAGTGGTTGACATCAGCGCAACCCCACCCAAAAAAAGGGCTAAGAAGCTACATTTAAGTGCAAATGAAAAACAAATAATATTAAATATATACAAAAACCAAATTCAAGAAAAACCCGATTTGGTCGTGGACGAAGTTATATGTAAGGTAGCACATATTTCTGGAGTATGTCGGTCCAGTGTTTATAGGATCATTAAGGAATATAGGAGCACTCACTCACTTTCTGAGCCAAAACCGTATCCTGCAAGAAAAAGGATAACGGACGGAGTAGATGACTTTGACAGAACTGCCATCAGGAGGAAAGTGCATAATTTTTTCTTCCGAAATGAGATACCTACAGTAGATAAGATATTAAGATTAGTTAATGCTGATGAGGATCTTCCATCATTTAAAAGAACCACATTCCGAAAACTTTTGAAGGAACTTAATTTTCGATTCTTGAAACGGGGAAGAAACAGTATGTTAATAGAGAAAGAAGAAATTGTTGTGTGGAGAAGGGAATACCTTAGGAAGATTCGGAAGTTTCGCGATGAAAAAAGAAAAATTTACTATTTGGACGAAACGTGGGTGAATGCTGGACATACTCAAGCGAAAGTTTGGGTCGACAAATCAGTAACATCATCAAGGCAGGCTTTTCTAGACGGTCTTTCGGCTGGATTGAAAAATCCTGCAGGTAAGCTCCTTCATCTATCCGGCAATTTAATTTTGATAAATTCGGGCAAATAATATGCTGTGATAGCAGATAATGTGTGATATTCTCCAAAAATGGTGCATTCGCAGTGTAGTCATTAGGAAAAAACTTCGACCCTCTTTTAAGCGTTATTTTGAAATTTATTATCATTTTTGGGTGCAGTCAATTTGCTTTGAATGGGTTTTGAGAAGTTGCAAACTTCAATTTTCTACGTTTTTCAGTTTTTGATCAGCATTCCGTGACTCTTAAATTCAGCTAAATGAACTCAATTGCCTCATTCCTTCAAATTTAATCAATCCATAGTGTAAGGAATAATTTATTTCCAGGAAAAGGCAAACCTCTGATCATTTGTCACGTAGGTAGTGAAGACGGCTTTGTTCCCGAAGCACTGTGGGCCTTTGAATCAAAAAAGACAGGGGACTATCATGAGGAGATGGACGGCAATTCCTTTGAAAATTGGTTCTCCAAAATGTTACTAAAGCTGGATAATAACGCTGTTATTGTACTGGATAATGCCCCGTACCATTCTAGAAAAATAGAAAAAATTCCCACAATGGCAACTAAAAAAGCAAACATACAACAATGGCTGGCCTCAAAACAGATCGATTTTGATGAAACAATGGTCAAGGGTGAATTGATAAGTATAGTCAATAGACATAAATACAAATACGATTTTAAAATGATCGACGAAATGGCCAAAAAACAAAATAAAACTGTCTTGAGACTGCCACCCTACCATTGTGAGCTGAACCCTATTGAGCTGATTTGGGCCAACATAAAGCAATACGTGGCGTCGAATAATAATACTTATAAATTTTCTGATGTTAAAAATCTCTTTCACATCGCAGTCAATAGAGTTACGGCAGAGGAATGGAAAAACTGTATCCGCCACGTTCGGGAG